CATCTCAAAGGCCATTCCAGATAAGTTCGTCACGCAAGGCTTTAAAAACAAGGAATAAAATCTTAAAATCAATTCCAAAACTCACAGGTAGAACAGCAACGTGTGGAAGCATTATCTTAAGTCTAAATAGTACACGAGGTTTTAAACAGGATCACGTCCAACGGTAGGAAAAGGTTAAACTCTGAACATTGAGTTCCCGTCCTCACAGCGTGTCCTTAGGGATGGCAGTGGCCGGCCTGGTCTAGACCGGAAAAAAAAACAATCCCAACTGTTGCCAAATAATGTTGCATAACTGTGTTGTCTAAAGTTACCTAATTAGCCAGATACCACTGCCATGGGTCCGTCTCTGAAAAGCTTGGTGTGGACTCAGGAGGGATAATGCTTAGGTTGCTAAACAGCATTTCTTTTTTGTTAACAGTGGAGATTCTGCCCTAACTTGGAGACTATTTGAGACAATTATTAAATGGGTGTAACCGCAACTCGGTGGTGAGTTGACTACCTAGCCTGCAGGCTAGTGTCAGCTACATCCTTTTAACAGCAAGGCGAGCTACCCAACAAACACGATCAGACATGATTTCCTGCGTGGGATGATACAAACAAGACACTGATCATTTGACGCTTCTTCAATCTAATTCCACAAAGAGATTATCAGATGGGATTAACGGGCACTTTTAATGCAATTTTAGGATCTCCCTTGGAAAGTTTCACCTCCACTGACATATTGAGTCATCCGTGACTTGGCAGTTTCACGGTCACTGTCAGCTTGAGGAACGTTGAGTCTTGAGGGACAATATATATCAGGGACTCCCAAAGAAGCCTCTTGCATCAGAGGCGAAGCATTTTCAGGAACCAAAAAAAAGAGAAGTCCAGTTTCATTCCACTGAAGCTTCGAGTTCTCAACATGACCTGGATGACTGAGAATCTACATAGACATGTTGCTGAATTAAGATTGGAGAACCAAAAAGATGTTGGTTATCTTGTAAAAAAGTAAAGCATACTCTCAGCTTTGCGAATAAAAGTAAAGATTTTTTTCAAAGGGACTCATCTTATGTAACCCCTTCGACTCTGCGTTGTGTTTATTAATAATGAGTCGGAAGGCAGAACAGTATTTTCTCATTTATTGGTCCACCTGGCAACACAAAATCACTCTGGTCAGCGGGCTCAGGCGTCTCGTGCACAGCACTCTGCGAAAGGAGCCACCTCATGTTCACTAACTAGCTAGCCAGCCAGTTAGCTAGTTAGCGGACATTCTCAATTTCCCAAACCAATGCACACAGACAAACGACACACATATCCACACACTCTCGTGAACATTAATGTAACTGATTACACACTCATATTTCCAAAAATAAACAAAATAAACTCATAACACTACCATTCATGAGCTCGTGCTGTGCTCCGCAACCTACCTCATGCACGCCTCTCGGGAACTGACGGCGCGACACCAGTACCCGTGACACACCACAGCTCCCGAGAGGGCGCCACTGAGCCGACACCAAATCACAGCAAGTGGAGTTACAGAATTACACACATACATACTGTTACACTTACATCAGGTACAAACACTGCATAGACTTTTATTGCTATGCAGATGACACATCACATGTATCAATGAAGCTGTGTGACGCAAATCCGTTACTAAAACTTCAAGGATGTCCCAAAAATATCAAGGCCTGGATTACTTGTAATTTTCTTCTAAATTCGGACAGATTATAGTACTTAAGAAACCCACTAACCACATGGTTACTCTGGATGACACTGCTTTGGCCTGCAGCACTACTCAGAGGAAGCATGGAAGGATTTCTGACCAGGATATGTCTATTAACTCACATAAAGCAAGTCTTTGGGATTTTCTTCTTTCACTTTGTGCAACAATGTCAAAATGAGGCACATCCCATCTTAGTCATATCAGATTTTACGTGCATGCATTTCTAACCTCTAGGCTGAATCAGGAAGTCCCAAAAAACCTACAGCCGATCCAAAACGCTGCATCCAGAGTACTGACAGGAACGAGCAAGACAGAATATATTGTCTTCACTGGCCGCCTGTAAAATCCAGAATTATGTTTAAAATCCTTCTGCCAACATACAAAGCCCTTAATGACTAAACTCCACCTTATCTTGAAGACCTTATTGTTCCATATTATCCCAACAAAGCACTTCCCTTTCTTGTGGTTCCTGAAGTCTCTAAAAGCAGAACAGAGCATTCAGCTGTCAGGCTGCATTGCTCTGATATGGGCTCCCAGTTTGGGTTCAGGAGGAAGACACCCTCTCTACTTGAGAGATGTGGCTTAAAACTTTATTTTTTTTGATAAGGTGATAGTTAATGCTGGCACAGGTGGTTCTAAATCATCCCCTAGTTGTGCTGCTATAGCACTAGAGTACTGGACAACTTAATATAATGCCCTGGGCACCTCTCCTCTTTCTCTCTAACATTACATTAGTTGGTTACCGTTATGTTAGCTGATCAGCTAACCTAAAATTGTCAGTGGTTGTCAGCCAACATATCGGTTGTTAGGTTAGCTAGAGAGCATCTAGCTCATGAGCTAACACATTTTTAAAGCGGTAGTTTCCTTGCTGCCATAAAAATGTCCGTTATCTGCACTTTTCATGTTTAATTAGTTCTGAGTCATCGTATGAGTTGGTGAAGTGTAAAACAAGCCCGGGTAAATGAACTAAACTTAAGACAAGTTCAGCAATAAACTACAAAATATTAAGCTGAATCATCTCGTCACATTTTTATCTCTAAAGAATGTCTTCCATGATTCATAAACATTGTAAAATATCCTTGCTAAGCATTAGAATGTGTAAAAAAAAGCTGTCACTGAGAAAGTGTTAGCATGCTAACATGCTACACTACAGCCTAGCAAAATTATCAGATGTTAGACATGGTAAACTTTCCTTTTTAAGTCTAAAAAGTTTTTTAAAAAGCTGCCATTTAGAACATGTTGACATGCTAAACTCTAGTTTAGCTGTCTTATTAGATAGCGTTGTTAGACCCGATTCTTTAGTTGGAAGCCCAAGAACAAGCCGGAGAAATCTTCAGTTCTCAGATGTAGAATTTATTTAGGTCACAGGTAAAGTTTTGCAGCTCTGGATTCAGAGGGACAGAGAGGAATCTCATGTCCAGCTGAACTGAGGTTTTTCGGCTCCAGGTTACAGATATCTTCTTGGGCTATGTTCTTGACCCCGAACATAGATAAGATTGGTATGCTACCAAGTTTAATTGGCCAGTTACCAATGGCGTGGACAGGCATACTTCTTCTGCGCTCTGTCCACGTCCTTGACATTTGGTAAGCAACATGTGTGGATGTTGTTGGTTTCATGGCGTGTAGCTAAAGTAACAATCGTATCTAATAGAAAAGAGGAATTTCTGCTGTCTCCAAGTATGCGAACGGGTTCTCACCCCCCACATTATCTTCAAGGACATAATAGAAAGGGCATTTTATGAGATTTTTTGCAAATCTGGCAACTAAATCGCTACCAAACAACTTCTTCACCAATATGTTTGTAAAGGTGTGTAATAACATGCCTTAAAATGTTGGTGGGAAACCTTTAAAAAAAAACCTGCTCAAGTTAGGGTACCGATAATCGATTGACGAAAAATCGATTTTTTGAAATCTGGCCTTAAGTAACTTATGAGGGGTAGAAGGATCCAGTCCCAGGTCTCCAGAGTGAATGCTGTGCAACATGTGCAGAGAACATTTGCAGGGGACATGGATGAGTACATGAGCATATCCAGCTGCAAGAAGAATGGGGTCATGTGCATCTGGGCCTGTGGAATCTGTAAAGGCATCACATGTAGAAACTGCAGTCATGATGTTGTTGAGTCTGAAGAAGACATCAACAATGACTCTCGAAGCTTCTGACACTGTGAATGAGAAATAACTCTGAGTGTTATATAAGTATGTGAAATAAAAGCTACTGTGCAATATAAATGTAAAACTTATTGTGGCCTTTTTCAACAAAGAAGTGTTTGTGGTGAACCATAAATGCTAACAATCAACTCAGAATCATGAAAAAACCCTGATTTGCCCCCTCATAAGTTACTTAAGGCCAGATTTCCAAAAATCGATTTTTCGTCAATCGGTTATCGGTACCCTAACTTGAGCAGGTTTTTTTTAAGGTGTCCCATGGGAGTTGAACTTCAACATTTTAAGGCATGTTATTACACACCTTTACAAACATATTGGTGAAGAAATTGTTTGCTTGCCAGATTTTTTTTCCCTTACTATAAGCTCAGTGCAAAATACAAACTCAGAATCCATAATAACTTGAAACTTAATTAATTATAAGAACCATAGGCTTCATGGAAAAATCCAGACTCAGAACACATAATAGCTTGAAACATACTTAATTATAACAGCGTGCTTGGTAAACATTCCTGGCTAACACCAAAGTGTTAGTGAAAGCTGTCACTGAGAGCTTGCTAACATGCTAAGCTACAATTTAGCCACTTTATTAGATACTGAACATGGTAAACAGTCCTTGTTAAGTCTCCTACTGTTAGCTAAGAGCTACCATTTAGAATACGGTTAGCGTGCAAACATATTCTAAACAGTTTAGCTTTTTAATAGGGTATATTTAACTTTTAAGTGTTAAAAAAAAAAAGGTTAGCATGCTAAAATTAGCATTAGCCCAAAACACTGCTGTATGCTGCCCCACAGAGCTGCTATGTTTTTAGCATATCCCACCAGCTTATAGTAACTTTGTGGGGTGGTTACCATGTGGTTCTTCACTTAACACGAAAACTATGAATATTTTACTGCTAGCCCGTTTATACAAAACCTTCTTGCCTTTTTATTGTGAGTTAATGATTGGAAACAGGTGAAATTAAACCCTGAAGAAATATAAAAGACACTTTTATGTTTATTGTAATTCAACAAACATTAAAACTTGATCAAAGGTTTTCTTTTTAGAAACATTAATTAGTCCATGACCCAAAAAAAACCCCGTGGAAAGCCCAGAAGTCTCCCCGGGCCGTTTGTTTGCAGACAGGAAGCTGCTGTTGCTACTTAAGTCATTCGACATCAGGCTGCTGGACACACAACAGCTCAGGGAGGCGGATAGCAGCAGTGAGCTCTCTTCTCTCGTAGGATGAACACTTTCCCAGCGCTCACAGAAGAGAAGAAACCCATCTGAACTCGCTGACATACAGAAACACTTTCATCGAACCTGTCGTTAGAAAGTGCTTCAGCCTCGAAGAGCGAAAACAAACCACAACAGACGGTACACAGCAGCCGATCCTCCGGTACGTGTGTTTTTTTTTCTTCTTCTTCTTTCACCACCAGAACTCTCATTTTCACCAGCCTGCTGATAAAACACGGAAAACCGTCACTGTTGGGCTTCTTCCCTCTGTGTGGTCTCGTGTTTTTAACCATGTGCTCGCTCATAACATGCTGCCTTTTAATAGCATTTGACATTCGGTGGCTATAAGTCCAATTAAAAAGGGGAACAGGATTAGCTTGTGCCACATGTGGCGGCAGTGTTTGCCTGTAAGAGCTGCAGTGTTAACAATTCAAGTCACGTTTGGTCTGTTTTTGGTTGTATTTCGGCATTTCTTCCTGTCATTGTAGAACTGCTGACTCTATTCTCTATTTCATGTAATCCTCGGTACCAAGTCGTGTCCAGAAATGTATTGTCATCCATCCATCCAGTATCAATACACCGCTTAATCCTCATTAGGGTCGCGGGGGGCTGGAGCCGATCCCAGCTGATTTAGGGTGAAGGCAGGAGACACCCTGGACACGTAGAAATGTATTGTGTGCTGCGGTAATTAATCCTGCGTGTGTCCTGAGCTATTGATGTTAAACTGACCTTAATCGATACACTAAGGCTGGCGAAGACTATAGATTGCAAAGCCAGATAAATCACGAGTTCAGTACAAATGATCACTTTTCCTCTTTAAAAAAGCATACAAGTGATGATGTGATTTATTTTATTTTTTTTACTTTAGTCAGTTGTAAACAAGCATGTTCCCTTATGTTTGGATGGAGTGATCTGTAGCCTTTATTTATAAGGCATGATGCCTCCTATCAAAATGTTGCAGCTCCTGTGATTTGGACATTACAATCGTGTGATTACTGGTTATGCCTTCTAATGGGCTGTTAAAATACGAATCATCAATCTATCTGGGTGCTTTTGGTTTTTCTTCTAAGTAAAGTCAGGATTTCTTCCTGTCAGTTGCGACAGGAGTCATGATTTCATGACAGATTGCCAATGATGATGTGATTTTTTTGCTTTAGTCAGTTGTAAATAAGCATGTCCCCTTATGTTTGGATGGAGTGATTTGTAGGCTTTATTTATAAGGCATGTTGCCTCCTATTAAAATGTTTCAGCTCCTGTGATTTGGACATTACAGTCGTGTGATTAATGGTTAAGCCTCGTATTGGGCTGTTAAAAATATGAATCATCAATCTGTCTAAGTCTGACAAAAGTGTTGACTGTCATGTGCTGTACTAGAGCTGAACAGTATGCAAAACACATATATATATATATTGCAGTTACTTTTCACAGATGTTGTGATATGAGTCACATTTTAGTGCAGCTGTTATTTTCCATTTGTCTTCCACCAAAATAACAAATGATGATGTGATCTTTGCCACCAAACAAGCATGTTTCCATACGTGTGGAGAATGTTATTTATAGTATCATTTATTATCTATTAAAGCATCTCCACGCTATTACAACTAATTACATGAATCTTTTTTTTCTTTACTGCAGGATTCTCTCCTTTTCCTCTGGAACCATGGTGTCAGCGGTCATTAAGATGTATCTGTTTGGATCGGTGCTTTCCATCTTCGCTGTCTTCTATGCCATCGTGGACTCCTTCGGCGGCCTCATGTACGTCCAGGACCATCACTACAGCCGACCGGCGGATGTGGACCTCCACACCGAAAGGCAGCTCCCCTCAACCGGCCACCGGAGAGGAGCGTCTGTAAACAGAAACATGGGCTCATGAGGAAGTTGCGCCACTCAACTTGTTGGACATGCTCTGCACTTTGAAAAGACTGTTTGTTGACACGGATGCGTCGCCCCACAGGATGTTCTGTTTTATACCATCTGCTGTCCAGAACTGTGGCAGCTAGACTGTGTCAAATCAACTACAAATCTGTTGACAAATGTTACAGCACTACTGAACAATTTGCACTAAAGTTTGAATGTTGTGACTTTTTTTTTCTTTTTCTTTTTTCAATAAAATGATTAACAAAACATTTTATTTGCTGTCGTAAGTAAAAGGTCATGGCCTCCTCTTCTCAAGAACAGGAGTCATACGTTGCCTCTTCACTGTAAAGGTTACACATCTGGCTGCGTAAGTGCATAAAATCAAGAACATTGACGCCACTTTGGCAGTGATTCAGGAACTGAAAGTTGGTAGAGCAGAGAGGGATTTACAAGCGGACAAAATTGACAGGTCCTGACAAAGGACAGTTGCTCTAAAAGATAACGTCTAACACAACACGGTGGAAATGGGGAAAAAAACCTTTTGGCAGTTCAAAAAGATCCCTCCTTCGCTGGAAGTGTTGTTGTGTAACAGCAGACCCCAAAGTACAGACAGTCTCATTTTCTTGCATTCATGTGCGAACACATTCGCTCACAAAGACAAGGCCTTGGGGGGAATGTTGGCTCTATGCACTGAACTTTATGTTATGTAATTGTTTTTAATGGTTCAGTGTCTGTCCTCAACGGGCATCAATGCTTTCCTCATGAGCTTCAGGAGATAAAAAAGTGAAAATAGAGCGCTTTTAATCAAATGCAGGACAAATTCATTCAAACACCTGAGTCACCCGTGTCGCCGACTGACTCAGAAACCTCCATACGGACTCGCTGAACCACTGAAGAAGCCATGATGCTGTTATTACTCATATAAACAGTGTTTCTGGGGTCACAAGGGGAACATTTCCACCCGCTGAAGTGCACCAATATGTCAATGTCTATCTCTTGAGAAAGTGACTTGTTTTCTGTTGAAGTGTTTTTACTGTCAGAGGTTGTACACTTCACACACACACACACCCGCACAGTCTATGAGTCAGTGCTTTGGTGTATCAAGTTCTCAAAAATTATCAGTGTCTCGCTTGATTTGACCACTTCTTAGCCTACGTGTGGTTTCCGTCGCCTTAAATGGTAAAACAAACAAGTCTTTATCTCTAATTGGAACCTATTATTCCGGCTATTACACATCTTACAGTCACACACTCATAAATCTGAGGTGAGGCTTTCCTGTTGAGGTGCCACCTTCATCCACTTCCTGATCTCTGCAATCAAAACATCTATGAGCTCGTATCTGTTGGCATGGCCCAAAACGTCAGAACAGTTAAAATGAGTCACACAGCCGGATTAACGTGAAGCTTATTTATTCTTCACGGGGTGAGGAAAGTTTGTCACGGCTGGGTTGTAATGTGAAAACACCTGCAGCTCCACTGTGGGAATAATAAAAACCGTCTTTTGTTGTGCGTAAAAGCGCAAAAACGTCCCGAGGCACTTTGGCACCTGGGTGAGATGCTCATCCATCTGCACGCGTGAACGCACGTCCACCTCTTGCGTAGACTTGTTCCACCTCCTACTACAACTAATATTCTGCTTTGCCGCTTTCACGTCCCCTCCTACTTTTAAAACTCCCTCATTTCATCCATTACGCTTTTTTTTTTCTCGATCGCTTTGACGGAATTTCTCACAAGTAGTCACTGAATCCCACATTCTCCTACTTTTTTTTTTGCAAACGGCCGTAAGATGCGTTTCCATCACCTTTACTCTTGAAATGTAAATCCTCCCTGCAGCTAGGTCACCTGGATGCGGGTAGAAGCACCTGCTGACTGTGGCCGCGCCACTTCACACAGCACTTTTTATGTTAATGACCCGTCCAAGCACTCCCCACCCTCACTTGCCTTCAGAGCGCAACAACATTAACTCAGGCAGTATCTAGCAGGCATCTGGGTCACTCTTATGATCTATTTTTTTCCCCCCCTTGGAGTCCCTCTGTTTTGTCGGTATGATGTGGAGACTGGTGGTCCTCGGTGGGCTGTGCGTCCTTCTTGTGGGCGCTGAGAGCAGCAGCTCCGGGGGGAGGACGGTGACTTTCCGCCGGACTCAGCAGGATGAGAGCCAAGTGCGCGCACGACCCAGGAGAGACACCAGCAGCTCATCGGGCACCTCCAACCCTTCTCACGGTCCTCCCTTCACCTCCTGCCGGCTCCCCCTCACCCCAGCCGAACACAAGGTTCTGGATGACAACACGCATGAGGTGAGGTGTGTTTGAGTGGAGGGACATTGTTCTGGAGCTGAATACAAGGAGGGGGGCAAAGTCCACGGAGGGAAACATCCATTCTTTTGAGTCTTGCATGAGTTAACATGAGAAAACAATCATTAGCTGTGTTTTTGTATTGTTTCTGGCTATTGGAGACTTCTTAAACAAGTGAAACTGGTCGAAAATCAAGTTTACTGGATGAAAATAATGCAAAGTGATGATCTAATAATCACTGTTAACCACCTCATACCTACATAGCTGACCAATGACCAATACATTCATTTTGCAAGCAGTATATTTGACTATCAAAGTGGAAATTTCAGGACTGAATAGTTTTGTGTGTGTGTGTGTTTTAAACTTTGTATTTATTGTGATCACATGTGCGAGCCATCCTCCTCCCTCTTTCTCCTACACAGGGTTTAACAATGATGATGGCTCCTATGTTATTCTCACTTGGCTGGGCGATGACACAGCATGAAAAAAAAAATCATTCCTTGTGTTTTTGTATTGTTTCTGGCTATTGGAGACTTCTTAAACAAGTGAAACTGGTCTAAAATCAAGTTTAATGGATGAAAATAATGCAAAGTGATGATCTAATTATCACTGTTAACCACCTCATACCTACATAGCTGACCAATGACCAATACACTCATTTTGCAAGCAGTATATTTGACTATCAAAGTGGAAATTTCATGACTGTATAGTTTTTTTGTGTGTGCGTGTGTGTGTTTTAAACTTTGTATTTATTGTGATCACATGTGTGAGCCATCCTCCTCCCTCCTACACAGGGCATAACAATGATGATGGCTCCTATGTAATTCTCACTTGGCTGGGCGATGACACAGCATGAAAAAAAAAATCATTCCTTGTGTTTTTGTATTGTTTCTGGTTATTCAAAGCTTCTTAAACAGGTGAAACTGTTCTAAAAATCAAGTTTAATGAATGCCAATAGTACAAAGTGATGATCTAATTACCAGTTAACCACTGAATACCTTTATAGCTGACAAATGCACCCATCTTGCAAGAAGTGTGATATCTGACCATCACACAAAGTGGAAATTTCATGACTGAGTAGTTTTGTGTGTTTAAACTTTGTATTTATTATGATCACATGTGTGAGCCATCCTCCTCCCTCTTTCTCCTAGACAGGGTTTAACGGTGATGACGGCTCCTATGTAATTCTCACATGGGTGGGCGATGGTACAGGGGTGAGTATCTGCATCATGCTCATAAACAGAACATGCTGCCTGGTTTTCACTTTAGAGATACGGTTTAACCCTGACACATGAGTATTCTGACTCTGTGCTATAGTAATGTGCAGATTCATTACTTCAGGTTTGCATTTTTAGGTAAACTATGAGTGTTTTTTAAAGCAATTTTTAACTGAAAAATGGGTCCCTGAAGCTTAAATACATCAGCTGAAGTGATAGCTCAAATTCAAAAAGAACACTTTTTTTTACTCTATCATCATCAACTACGTTCCCCAGGTGATCCTCGTGCTATCAACAATCAGTGCACCGATTGATTCTTTCCTGGAAGGAGGCTCGTCTCGACTTTACCGAAGGTGAGCCGCCATCAGATCAACACACTCGTCTCACTCTGTGCAAACCGCAGACAAAGCTATCTCTTCTCTCTCATCAGTACGGATTATGGCAAGTCCTTCCACGATATCTCCCTCCGCATCAACCACACCTTCATCAGGGAGGAGTTTGGAGTCAGCGTCGGACCAGGAAGCTCTGTAAGCTTTTGTTTTATCAGTTTATTAAAAAGATGTGGCACCAGGCTTTGTTTTTATGACTTTGTTTCGTGGGAGAAGAGCGCCAGTTTCTGTGTTTTGAGAGAGTAATTTTGCGTCACAATAGAGTCGAGACATCTGGCACGCTGATGTGACATCAAATCAAGTCAAACCAGATCTTCACTGCCAAAACACTTTCCCTCGTGACCTCAGAGTGTTGTGGCTGATATGTTCAACCCGCAGAAATGCATCGACATATTGAGACAAGCACAGTTTACATTTCAATATGTTCTCAGTTGTGCATCTTTTTATCCATAATTCTTCTTCTATGTAATCGATATACTGTCATTGGGTGCTAGTGAGGTTTGAGACGCAAACAATTCAAATGTAGGTAAACCTAAGCAAGAAATTCTGCATGTAAACAACTAAAATCTGAATTTAATTTAGATATTTGTGTGCGAGTAACTTCCCCTATACTTTATTGTAATGCCGTCAAACCTGCCGCTCTGTTTTCGATTGATCTCGCCTGACAGGTGATACTGACCGCAGACACACCGGTGGTCGACAACCCAGGTGGGATTATCTTCACCTCCACGGACGCCGGCGCGACTTTCAAGTTCATCCAGCTGCCCTTCCACCTAGCTCAGCCGGTCACGTACCACTTCTTCAACCCCGACTACCTGGTGGCACTCAGCATCGATGTGAGTCTTTTGATTATCGTGTCCTCGAGGTGTCACAGTGGATTCCTGTGCTCTGTTTAATATTCTTGGCACACATAACACGTGCACTCACTCATCAAGAACACACCTTGAAGTGAAGGTAAACACTCCTCTGGTTCCTGACTTGCAGGGCAGCCTTTGGCTCTCGCTGGACTTTGGCGCCAAGTGGACAAAAGTTCATGATGGAGTGCATTCTTTCTCATGGTGAGAATAAACAGGAAACAAAAATCCGTCACCAGATTCATGTGCAGATTGTCATATGGTAGAATTGACCTCATAGAACTCACTGTATGCAGCAGTTTGCTTCAAATACATTGATAATATCTGCATTGTAATATCTTCTGGAAAGAGAAGCTGTTTATTTGTGTTTGTGAAATGTTTCCTCTCTCCATCAGGGGGGCTGGCATCCATTTGTTCTTCAGCTGCACTCGAGTAGACACAGGTAAGAAAAACACTTTAACCCTGCAAAGCCTGAACCATGAAGTCACTGGCAGAAAATTATAATTTTTTAAAAATGGAGTGTTTATTAAACCATCCATCCATCCATTATCTATACACCGCTTAATCCTCACCAGGGTCGTGGGGGGCTGGAGTCTATCCCAGCTGACTTAGGGTGAAGGCAGGAGACACCCTGGACAGGTCACCAGTCTATCACAGGGCTACACTTAGAGACAGACAACCAAGCACACTCACATTCACACCTACGGACAATTTAGAATCACCAATTAACCTCAACATGTTTTTGGACTGTGTGGGAGGAAGCCAGAGAACCTGGAGAGAACCCACGCTGCATGGGGAGAACATGCAAACTCCACGCAGAAAGATCCAGGTGTCCTCAACGGGACGCGAACCGGCGACCCTCTTGCTGTGAGGCAACAGTGCTAACCACCGAGCCACCTTGCAGCCCTTAATTAAACTATCTGACAAATTTTAAAAAATGTATATTAAAAAAAAGCAATTTTCATACATGAGGTGTAATTTGTATCATTTTTGCCACACTTTTGGTGCATGAATTACAATCCGTGGTGGATTATGGTTGCACTGAATGTGTCTGATTGTATGCATCAGGTTTTTCAGGGAAAAAAGTACCACACTGATGATGTAGAGGTCTCAGAAACTCATGTCAAATGTGATACACTTTACAGGGTTAAAGATAGCAGAAGACTTTAAAAATGTCACTCAGGCAGCATTAAAGACATCCAACCCGATTTGGATATACAGTGAGGATATCAATGTGATTCAGAAAAGCTCATTCATGACTTCCGTAGTACGCCGCTGCTTCTTCTTAACCACACACAATTTGTAATAGAAGTGAAAAGTTCAGTTTCACTGTTTAATTTTTTTTTACATAACACAGTCTTGTGACTCTGATCAGCTCAGTTTCATCTCATCCAGTATTCATCTTTGCAGTTGTTTCCAGTTCAGTTTAGATCTTTATTGTCACACATGAGGAAATCTGTTTTATTACAAGGCCATAAAAAAGGGCGTCCACTGATAGAGCGCACGCGTCATGTGCCGAGTCTCCGCGGCAACAGCTTCATCTCAGGCCCCCCCCCCCTCACCTCTCTCGCCTCACCCGAGCTGTCGTCACACAAGAACGGCAAGGAAGCCGCAATGAAACCACAGATGAAACTGAAAACGGAGAAACTGTCCACATGACGTAAAATAAGCAACACAAAGCGACAAGTTGTGCAGAGAACCGAGAGGCAGTTTTTTTTTGCATATGTGAGCTGTTTGCACATGGAATGAAAAACAAGACTTATTGTTAGTCTCTTGTATCTCTCACCTGATGGAAGCAGCTCATATTGTTTCAATTAAGTTGGATGCAAATTTGCTAAGAAGGATTTTTGCTAATGACTTTATTGCCAGTGTGCACAATGCTATCCAGCTGTTTTATGTTTATTTTCAATGCAGCAAATCATAGTGGAGGTCAGGAGCTAGTGTAAGACACCATTTACTTTGCAAAATTCAGTTTCTCATGAACAATAAAAAGAAGTTTTGCATGTCAGGGAGCTGGCTGTGTATGAGTAGTTACGATGAGTTGAAGACACATTCCTGTTTCTTGTTGTCACGGTATCTTTCTATTTTTCACTAGATGACACGGATGAACGAGGAGACTTAGTGCTGAAGAGGACAAAGGATCTGGGGAAGACTTTCACCACAATCCACGAGGACATCTACAGTTTTGGCTACATAGGAGCCTTTCTCTTCTTCTCCGTGATGGAAGAGCCGGTGAGACACGTTCACGCAAAGCCTCGTCCGAACACACACATTGTAATTTTGTGTTGTATCGTGACGCACTGTTTCGCTCCCAGAGATCCCCTCGCGTCATGTACTTCTCATCAGACCAAGGAGACACCTTCAGTCGAGCTCTACTTCCTCCTGCATCCACTGAGCAGGTGAGAGAGAAAAGAAATGATCATTTCTAAAAGCTGTTTAAAGATTTTCAGTTGCAATAAATCTAAGAGCCCTTAACTGCAGAGCATGGATAGATATCAAACTGGTGCAGCAGCCGGTGACATTTATTACCTTCTTTATTTATAATTCAGACACACACTGGCAGTATTTTAATGTCTGAAGTTTCTGGGGTTCGCTTGTGCCAAAATTCCAGTATCACTCTTGGAACATCTGCCAAATTCAAGAGCATGTCTGTTCATGCACGTGTAGATTTTTTAGTTATACATCTTCCCAGACAGCAGGCAGATTCAAGCAGATCTAAGATTTTTTTTGTATAAACTATCCTCAGACGACCCAGGTAAAGCATTTTACGCCAGACGGTCTTATCACGTGGTGTCTGCGTGGTTGTGTTTTATTTTCATTTTTTAGTCTCAGTGTACACAAATGAAATTATGTGTGACAACTTTGTGCCTAATGAATGAGGGCAGTGTCATTGTGGAACAAAGCATTTCCCACCAGAACAGAAGAGTTTTGTTATCGGACAAAGTGATCAGCCAAAGCACAACAGGATCCCCTCGCTGTAGAGGTTCACATTTTCTCTTTCTCTTTCTAAACTGAACCAAGCAGTCGCTGGGAGTTTCTTTGCTGCTGTCGCCTTTTTACTCGCTCTAGACTCATTTTCACTGCAATATAAAGTCCTGTACATCTATAGAAACAGCACAACTATGGCTAGAAGGAGAGAGACCTCAAACATGTCTTCCGTGCAATATGACACATGTTGGAATGCCATCATTCAGAAAAAAGAAAAGATGTAGATTTCTTTACAAAAATTGGGGAAAAAATCTGGAATCAACACGTACAACATTTTCCCAAGTGTCAAGGTGTTGCCAATACTAGAAAAAATGGATGCGTGTCAGAGATTTTTCTTTTTTTTTTAAAGCTGGATCTGTTTAAATTAAACAGCTTATTCTTGGCAAATTTGAATTCGTAGAATAAAGTGATTTTTAATAAATTATCATAATTTAATCCTTAGCTTTGGTTTATTTTCCTGACAAAACATGTCACACATGATTCATTCATAAAACATCAGAAAGATTAAAGAAAGAAATTGACGGTTGTTTCTGTTTTTACAGTTTCTCGCTTTAATAAAAGTTGTCATTTTGATGATTTTTAAAACTATAACATTCAAACCTGCCGGGTTCAGAGGGTCAAATTATCACCTGATTCACAAAGTTTTTTGTTGGCAGCCATTTTATCTAAGATGAAGCCAAATCAAAGGAAATGTACCTAGAAGGCAACAACAACAACAACAACAACAACAACAACAACAACAAAACCCTGTCAAGCACCTTCTTAAAGCTTTAATGTTAGGTTAATCATTCCGACTTTAATGTTAATAAACTCAGTGACCAGGAAGTGGAGCTGGTTTGCTCTTTCAAACATTCCAGACCAGGTGGACTGCATTTAAATACACAACACAGACTTTTTCTGTTCAGAAAATTGAGGGATTTTGGTGTCAGAACAATTTTAAGTGAAGTTAATTGAGTATATACTCGTTTTAAACGTAGTGCCTTGATATGTGGACCTCACCGTCACAGATAAGGTTCAGCTTTTAGGAGAGATCAGACTTGGCGATAAAAGGTTGTGATCAAAATCAACAAATGTGTCTCCAGGCGTGAGCGTCAAAATTCAACATGACTCCACACATCCCCTGAACCGTCACTTTCAGCTTTTGCCCTCAGGATGTAGGTTTCATTTAGTTTCACTTCTGAAGAAAAAATCTTTTTCCTGCTTGCTTAGTCAAACACAAAGAACAGAGACGAGAGAAACCCACGCTCAGTTCTGCATTCCATTTATTCATCCGTCTGTTATTTGTGTGTATTTCTGTTTCATAGAATGATACATTTTTAGTTCATTTCTGTTTTATTGAATTGTTTTTGGGTGTTTCTTTTCATTCCTGATGTTCTGGGTGAAAGTTTACAGTACAAGCAAAGCCAAAAAACCCCCACAAATTCTGCTTTTCATCAGCAGAAGATCATTAAGTTGTCCTGAAACATTTGAAACCATATTCGACATGTGATGTCCAGATGTCAAACTAAAATATTCCCTTTCTTTTCACACACTTAGTGAGCATTTTTTGGGGGGAAACTCATAAATTCTTTGCACTTTGGTGACAAACACACTCACATACTTTCATTCGTCTTTGTAAAAAAAACACATCAGTGACAACATTTCCTTTTTCAACACCAACTGAACACACACACACCTGTTGTGATGAAACACCCTCCCACACATCTTGTTGACAGCACAAACACACACTCTCTCTCACGGCGATTAGATGAGGTGTATGGCCAGGATTAAACCAGTCATCAAAAAAAGTCTGTTTTTTCTTTTGTGGCCTGATCCTCATGTTGTGCCCCCTCCCTCCATATGTGTGTGTGTTTGCAGTTTTACTCCATCCTGGACGGGGACGAGGATATGCTCTTCATGCATGTGGACAACCCGGGAGGTACAAACACGCCGGCACAGTTAATCTCTTTGTCCATATTTTCCATTTAGCCGAGCACACACACACCTACAACAACATGCCTGACACATATCTGCAAATATGCCCACACAATGTGACGAGAATTTATAGCTCTCTCAGCCTCTTTTTTTTTTTTTTTGTTGTAATGGAAAAGCTCAAACCAAACTGGTTTCACAAGTTCTCGGTGTTGCTGACAAATCATTAAACATAGTGAGCGTGTATTTGTGCAACAAATCTAGCTGCTCGCTCTTTGTTCCTTTCTTTACTTCTCTTTGTCTCCCGCGTCTTTATTCTCTCATTTGTTTTTTGTTTAATTTGTGTTATTGTTATTCTTAATATATAATTTTTTTTCTCTGCTTCTGCTGTGTGAGGAGGCTGATGGGACTTTTTGTAAAGCAGAGATAAACAGGGGAGATATGGGGGTAAAGGGGCTTTATCTTTTGTTGGCTCAAGGGAGGGAGATTTAGGTTACACTGCAAAAGCTGACAAACATATCTTGTGATCAGGGTGTAACATAAGCACACACACACACACACAAACACACACACACACACACTCTCCTGACCAGGTTTGTCCTTCGCGCCTTTAGCTGACGCATGATAAACTAGATAAAATATGATTGATGATCGTTTCGACCTGAGATGCTCCCGATTGTTGTAAACGTGACTCAGCACTCATCGTTTACTTCCTGTTTCACCCCAGACACCTTCTTTGGGACCATGTACACCTCGGACGACCGCGGGATCCTGTTCTCCAAATCGCTGGAGCGTCACCTGTTTGACGGGCAGAGGACGAGCGATTTCACCAACATCACCTCACTGAGAGGAGTTTACCTCACGAATAAACTAGACCTTGGTAAGGTTCTGCATGTGGGTGTTCTCTCTGTCAGCTTTTCATCTGTATATACCTTCTGCATGAAAGGATTTGGACACATTTTTGGTTAAAGCTTCGAGTCCCTGCCTGCTGAAAATCAAGTTTTTTCCTTGTTTTTAACATGCTGGAAAGCATATTATAAATGAAACAAGAAGTCACGGCTCAGCATTTCCACCTTGAAATTGCAGTACTGAACACTGCATCTCTAAAAACACGTTGCAAATCTGAGGAACTAATCTTGTCGGTATGCAGGGAGGAGCTTTCTGCATCACTGCTCTTCTTCAGCATCAGTTTCTGTATTGAGCACTTATGGCTAAACCAGCAATAACAATACCACTAGTTTCCCAGTGTTTTAGCAGAGCTGTAGGCGAGCTGGTGTCCATCTTCGCCATTTTAAGATGTGAAGGACGGGAAAAAAAAAAAACTTCTAAATATGTAACTATGAGACACTCCATACCAAAAGATCCCAGGCCGGGACGCGACCCAGGGATCTCTTAGCTGCGAGTCAACAGTGCTAATCCCCGAGCCACTTTAGAGCCTAAAATGGAAATCCTTTAAGCCCTAAAAATGGAGCTTCATGACATGGAGTTGTGACTGTTTTAACTGCAGCCCCGTCTCCCAAAAAACATGCTTCTGTACCACTAAACTGCATTTTCAATTTACATTTGTTTGTCACATGTCACAAATACATGTCAGATCAGCCAATCAGTCGTATATTAGACGTTGCATGACTCATCAACCTGGCAACCCAGAACACGGAGGAGAAGCTTCAACATGGTGTAAAAGGGTCATATTTGAAGCCTACTTTCCAAAACGTAACCAAGTAAACCGAAACAAAGAGGTTGACTGGAAACTCTGAAAGTGGAAACCCAACCTGACCCGAACACTTTGTTTCGTTGCAGATGGCCGTATAAGATCTGTCATTTCCTTCAACAGAGGAGGGGCGTGGAGGCAACTTAACAAACCTGAGAATGTGGATTGTGGAGATCAAGCCAAGAGTGTATGTTGGATACAGAGACAGCTAATCCCAGTGTGCATGTGCAGGAACTTGTTTAAGTTTAGTCTTCACTAAAACAATCTTTAACTTGTTTATTTTTTGTTGTCTTACCAGTGCAACCTTCATATTCACGGAGAACACAGTCGCAACAACCGAATAGTCCCTATGCTAGCTCTGTCTGAGCCAACCGCCATCGGCCTGGTCATCGCCCATGGTGAAGTCATTTTCAATCATAGCAGTTGTTTTGTAAGTTAATTCCTTGTTCAATCATGTTAGCATATTAATCAAAAGCTGTATTTTCTCTTCACCAGGCACTGTGGGCGACTCTCTGTCGTCGTGGCAGCACCCAGATGTGTTTGTGTCCTCGGATGGGGGCTATAACTGGAGGGGGACGCTGAGGGGTCCTCACCACTACAGCATACTGGACTCTGGGGGTCTCATTGTGGCTGTGGAGGCCCAGCGCGAAGGACAAGTCAAAACTATCAAGTACTAAAAATACATCCTTTTTAAATTAAACGAGCTAATACCACTATTCCTGAAGTGATTCCATACTTTTTGCTGCCATTTGTTCTCTCCAGATTCTCCACAGATGAAGGCCAGTGCTGGAAGTCGTATAACTTCACCGAGCAGCCCTTCTTCTTCGCCGGCCTGGCCTGCGAGCCCGGCACCAAGGCCATGAACGTCAGCGTTTGGGGCTTCCGGCCTGAAGAGGACGGGCAGCCCATGTGGGTGGCGGTCACCATAGACTTCCAGAGCCTCATCACCAGAGAGTGTAAGCGCTTCCACCTCTAAAGTCCTACAAGGTGGAGCCTTGTAGTGTTTTCTCGTAACTGTACAATTCCTGTAAACTTTGAGATCCAATGACACTGCATTCATCTTTTCTCAATCCAGCAGGTTTTGAACAATGGATGCCTTTTTTTTAGTCATCTGTCAACAAGACATCCATTGTTTATTCTTTTGTTTGTGTTGTGGTTTTGTGGTTTGTGGATTCCTCTATAATCTTCTTTGCTTTATTTAAAAGTCCCAAAATGTATTTGGACAATCAGTGTCACATATATTTTGGGACAAGCTGCTTCGGAGGGGGCAAGAAATGTTTTTTTGACGCCAAGTTTTCCAGATGTCTGTAACAGAATTATGGGTTAGCGAGGTCATTTCCGGTTTAATTGTGGTTTTTTTTTAGGACTATGATGGTGGTACATTACTATGGTAACTTATGCTGCACGAAAGCTCTGAAGCTGCAAGCAATTTTAAAGCTATTTGTTCTGCAGACCTTTGTAGAGCGGTGTGATCCTAAAACAGAGACTGATGAAGCACTAAAGCCTTGTTCTTGTTATAAGATCAGCAGTAAGCCTCACATTGAATGATGTTTTCATATTTGATCTTTGCTCGCTTCCAAAACCATTTACCACCACCCAGGTCGCAGCAGAAAGAATAAGATGTTAACTGTCTGACACACAATAGGAATTAGACTTTATGTAAGAATATTAAACTCATCCTCCACATCAATACAACAATCTTTATTACTGGATTATTTAATCTTTTAATATGTTTTTTTGTGAGCAACATAATGGAACTACATCTGCAATTTGTTACACAGTCTTGTGTTGCATTATTAAAGCAAATATTCAACAGGAAATTGATTATGCCATTAATGAGACGAAGCCACATAAATTATACTAATAAGGCTATTAACTTAAGTTATGTTTAATAAGTCTGTCATGTTTAAGCCAGTTTTCCTTCATGGTTTTGGCTGCAGCAGCTGTTTCCTTTAGCCTCTATTATATTTTTAAAGTCATCATGCTGATTTAGGAAATATGCAGCTCCAGACCGGCCCATGCTTTTTTTTTTTTTTAATGAGTAACCCTAGGTTGACTTAATGAGCCGATAACCAGCTATGTGACCATTTACCCTGACTGCAGCTGTTAAATGAAGTGAAAAACCAAAATGAATTTGGTAACTTGCTTTGTAGCGCTGGGCTCTGGGTTTTTCACTCTGCCTGTGTGGTGTTGCAACATGTCTGCTCGACCAGTTCACACGACAACAATGTTTCCCCGATACTGTCGAAATGTAAGCTGGATGTTTTATCGTGACATAAAATGTGATTTTTTTTAGGAGCTGTTTTGTTTCGAAATCGTGTGTTACAGTGACTGGTCTGTATTTGATTCTTCAGGTGATGACCAGGACTATGAGGAGTGGTTGGCTCATTCTGCACAAGAAACGGACTCGGAGAGAAACGGCTGCGTGCTGGGTGTCAAGGAGACTTACAGGAGGTTAAAGAGGAAGTCCGTGTGCAGAAATGGGCGAGGCTTTGTGGTGAGCAAGAAGCAAAGCTCTTGCTTGTGCACCAGAGAAGATTACCTGTGGTATGTGTGACTGAAACTACATTGTGCTGTATTCAGAATACGGTGATTTAAAGAAGAGAGGTGCAGAATGTGGCCTCTCAGTCTGTGTTGGAGGCTTGGTTTGGCTCCAGCATGGAGAATGTATTCTATTAAAACTGATCTCTCTCCTTGGTGACAGTGACTACGGCTACTATCGTCACGTGAACACCTCAGAGTGCGTGAGACAACCGAGTGCCGCAAACAAAACTTTGGAGATGTGCCTGAATGGAGAAGAGGATGAGTTACTAACAGCTGGGTAATTCCCTTTTCAAATGAAGAGACACACCTTGTTTACACGCTCACACTCACACTCTTTATATCTTTAAAGGTATCGCAAGGTGCCGAGTAATCGGTGTGAGGGCGGATACAATCCTCAGCTGGCAGTGCAGACGGTCATCAGGCCCTGTGGTGTAAAACCCAGCCCTGGTCCGCCTGACAAGTCCACATCTTCAGTCACACACTTTGACACACCGGTCAGTGAAGGTTTTCATTCTATTCGCCCTCGTTTAGCTCTTCAAGTTCAGTTTTGTTTTTTGGAAGTATACCAGCTCTTACGTGTATTTTCCAGCGAGAAAGGCTGGTGCTGATCCTAGTGTGCGGAGGAGCAGGCGTCATCGTCCTGGTAGCCGTGGTTTCCGCAGTAATAGCTGTCAGGAGAGTGGTTTATAGAAACAGGTGAGTCAGACACACACCGCGGCTGCACGTACACCTTTTTGCAGACAGGAGCTGAACTGTTGTGGTTTCTTGTCGCCCTCTGCAGGACACCTGTGTATCGTTTTTCCAACCTGAGGATCCAGGATGACGAAAACGGCGTCACGGTCGACCACGAAAGTGGCACCAGCAGCAACGGTACGGCCTGCCAACAGGACTCAGATGATGTAAGAGCTGTTTTGTTGCCTTATAGCGTCTCCAATGGTGTGGATTTCCTCATGCATACTAATACTTTTGTGTTCTTATTTTGCCAGGATCTTATCGAATGACACATATTTGTAATGAATATTCATGACTGTGCAGAAGAAGGCTGCAAGCTGCATTTTGTTGGACTTTTCCTCAACATTTCGATGGGATTCCCCCCAATTCCAAGTTTTGAATGGCGAATATGAAAATGTTAAATGTATTAATTTATTGCGCTAACTTCATTGTATTGCTTTACTTTGCCTTCCTTTTATTTGTACAGTATTTTTTATTTGATCTTATTGATTTTTACCTTGTTTTGCACCATCTTTTTTACTTCTGTTTAATGTGAAAACAAACCTAAAACAATCCTGAAAATGTGCATTTATGACAAAACTAAATTCTGCATGTTATTGTGTTCATTCTGCTGAGTATGTTACAGTTTTAAATACACAAAAATTTGTTTAAATGCACAATAAATTTCTGCTCTAAAACTGACCATCAGGCGGCGCTGGTGGGGCTGCAGAATCTTTGATCTGCTTCAAAATGTAGCAGAGAAGAAGAAAGAACAGGAAGTTGATGTAAACAAAGATTGTATCGACAGATGTATCACTCAGCCAAAATAAATGCTAGAACTGTTCAGTGCAGAAGTAATGTATGCTGGTAGGAGACACTGCAAAGAGATTGCTCATAAATAACTGCTGCTTATTGTAATTTACACATTTGAACTATTTATCAAATCTCATAATGCTTAACTGTAGACCAACAGGATACTTTATCATTTAGATTTCGTTTTGGTTTAGAAAACTGACATCTGTTAATCTAATATATAGCTGAAAAGTCTTGCATATTTATTTACAAAATGGCATCATTTTAAAAGCATTGCTGGGGGACATAAGTGAAGATGTAATTTGTGCACAGATGGGTTTTAAAAATGTGTAAATATTAATGTAGGGTTTGAGGAAGATTAATAATGTCTGGGCTTGGGAAGTTGTTGCTTTACTGACTAATTGCAATGTAAAATAACACCTTCTCATTTGTTGTAGATAGTCATTTTCACATGTGCATTTACTTCATGAATGTAATGCCAACAAACAAACAGCAAAAACAAAACACAGGAAGAGTGCTCAAAGTGTGGTTATCTAACCAAATAATAAAACCAGAAATTGTAGTGTACATGCAACAGGCCAGTAATAAAGTGACAGAATAAATATGTTGTGATGTAATTCAGGAAACTAGTGGGAGGACACAAAAAACACTTCAAAACATGGCAACCAGAGTAGTGTTATTGATGATTTTGTCAAAGTAAATTGGGTTTTTAACCATTTTAATTTTTTAAAATTTTGTTCTTACTATTTTATGAATTCTTTGCTTATGTAAATGTGATCTTTTGTGTTAAGAATGGATTATTTGCTTGTTTAAAATTAGTCAGTGTTGTGTAAGCTTACAAAAAAGAAAAAAAGAGGAAGAAAAATTAACTTTTTTTTTTTTAAATTGAAGTTTGTAAATATTGAGCTCGGCTTACAAAAAAAATGCAAAAAATAAATCTACAAAATAAAAAAAATTAAAAATATTCTTTTCCGAGATGGGAACTTTTTTCCTTCCGCGCATGCTCGTCTTTGTTTTTTCCAACAGAGTGGACCCTCTTCCGGGTTCTCCTCCAGTAATATCTCAGCTGTCATGACACGAATCAGCGCTATCAATTTACCGAGCAGACCCTAAAACGCACCGGAGAGCTGCTGGCACGGCGCTAACCGGACAGGTAAGGTACAAGTGGGCGTTTATCCACAGGTTAACTCCAAGTATCGACATTACCGAGGCTCCGGTGCTGATATTTCGGCGTTAGTTTAGCAAAGCTGTCGGCTGAGACGAGGAAGTAGCGGAGCTCACGGGTCAGTTAGCGTCACTTTTATCGGTAACACTTGACGCTAGTTAGCTTTTCAAAACGTAGCTTCCAATATTAACCACTCATGCTATGTGAGTGCGTTACCACGTACTAACTAGTTAATTTGAAAGAAAAACAACAAAGCTAAAGTGGCGTTAACTTCTAACAACTAACTTTCTGCACAATACATTATTTCAAACTGTGTTATATCAACTATTAGCAGCAGCTAAAGTGAACGTGTCCGTGTTGACCCCCTGCACGGATAAATAATTAAAGTGGGCTGACTGTGTTTTCTGTCTGCAGGTTGTTAGCTGTGAGCAAGAAGAGGCTGGAGACTCGCTAAGATGTTGAGGGCTGGTGGTAAGTCAAGTGTATCTCCTCTAAGCTGAACAGTCAAATATGTCTGCGTAGATTCTCAGTTGTTGTCATTCTGAGAAAAGGAACTGGAATTTGTTTATCTGATCTTCAATCTTTTAGATGAACCAGAAGGAGAATAGAAAAGAATATGTCATTGTTGTCATTGTAACATGTACAATGAAAATCAAGTGCAAACCTGAATCAGTGCAGAAATAAAAGGTACTAAAATGCCATAAAAAAAGACAAGAGAGTATCTTACAATATGATTATTATACAACAACAATAAACCCAACAGACATCTACAGTCAACAGTTATTGCACAATCTCTTAAAGTGAGCTTCACGGTATGTTTGCATTTCTGAGCCGGTTTGTCCTTGTTCTCATGCATCTGTATCTTCATCCTGATGGCAGCAGTTCAAGCAGATTGTGGCCCAGGTGCGATGAGTCCTTCAGTATGTATTGGGCTTTCCTGTAGTTCTTTCAGAGAGGGAAGAGAACAGCCAATGATTTTCTGGGTGACCTTTAGGACCCTCTAGAGCACTTTCCTCTGTGTCACTGTGCAGCTGGAGAGCCACACACACAGAGGTCACGATGCTCTCAGTCGAGCAGTGATAGAAGGACACCAGCAGTTTCTGGGGGATGTCTCTGCTGAGCTTTCTTCACCAGCTCGTCTGTGTTCGTGCCCCAGGTCAGGTCATCCCTGATGTAGACTCCCAGAAGACAGACGTCCGACACTCTCTCCACACAGTCCCCACCTATGAATAAAGGCCGAATGTTCTTTTTATTCTTACTGAAGTCCACAATAAGCTCTTTAGTCTTGGCAGTCCAGCTGCCTTCATCAAAAGCACATAGAAGCAAAATATAAGTAAAATGATATCTCGACACTTTCAGAAAAACATTCCCTCCTAGTTGCTTGTTTTTGTGAGTAAAAGTCTTATAGATGTAGAATAAGATGTTAATAGAAATCCCAGAAGCAACATATACTGATCAAAACTGTAAATGCAGCATGTAATATGTCATTATATTCATCCATCCTTTGAAGCATAGCTGCTCCAACACACAGCATCTCTACAACCAAGGAGGCGATAATGTGCAGATAGAGAGTGGGGTCATATGTCAAACACCCGCAACATAGAGTGAATGGGCTTGTTGACGCCTGAAAGGCTCGGTGAAGTTGGTGGACATTTTAATAGACGCCATCACGACATGTTCATCCAGAGCATCGTGTGGCAGATTGTCAGTCCTACCACTCTGTCTGAAAAGATTTCTTAGACGACAAATGGTGGAGTTGTGGACGTGCAACTAACTACAGCACGAACGGAGATTAATCTAGCGTTTAATGTGCCAACAGCCGGTCTTTTCTTTCTCTTGTCCTCCGTGGCATCATGTTATTTGAATAAACCTGCATTTTAAGGTGACGCTTTATAGTCACTTGTCAAATAAGTGTTCTTGTCCTTCAAAGCCGCACCTTACCAGGGTGTGGATTGACTTGGGATTTGTCACCAGAAAAACAGTTGAACCCCTTTGTAACCATACATATTTTAGTGGCTTGTTAACTTTTCCTCTAAGTCAGAGCAGAAGTCCAGTTGTATGCTGCCAATAAGATAGTCACAGGTGCTACATTATTTAGGATATTTAGGATTTTCGTTCTGTGTCAATAACATTATGTACTCAGTGAAGACTGTAAAATCTTCTAACTGGTGCTTTCGTGTCTCTCTTGCCTTTCCAGGTATTTTGAAGTTAGCAGCGCTCGTCTTTGCGTTCCTCCTGGCTGTCTTTCTGGCTTTTCAACTGCTGGAGATTAATTTGGATTTTAAACTTAGCAGTCTGGTTTGTGAGTAACTTTTTAAAATGTATTGTGTTGCCTGCAGCAGCACAAAGAAAGCTGACTTATTAGCTGAAAAGGAAACCTGACAGCTATTTGTTTAGCAATTGAGGAAGTGATTTATTCAAATATAGAAACCAGTGTTGGCACTGTGCTGACTGGCCTTCATTGTCCATAGTTTGCTGTAACAATGACAATGCTTACAAGTGGGATTCTCCCCTAGAACTGCTGTTTAAATGACCATGAAAGCGATCACTGATGATCTCCTTAAACTTATATGTTTTTGCTTTTCAGCAAAATCGCTGCCAGCGAATGAAACCCGTAAGTATCCCCATATTATCAATCCACATTGTTGCTTTGTTTACTCATTGTTTACATTGCTTTGAGAAATGCCTCCCTTCTTTCTTTGTATTTTTGTCTTTCTATACCTGTCAACACATGAATGATAATGATCAGCTTACGTCAGATTGTGCTGTATGCATCTAGATCATCATGACAAAGTGTCATTGTGTACGTCAAGCTTAGCACGTCGACATTTGAAGTATACATCGATACCTTTAGATTGAGGTCTGCTGTTATGTATTTGCATGCACTTATGGATAGACTCACATGATCAGACTACCTGTAACCTGATGTTGTTCTACCTGTTACTCAACGTGTAAAATGACTTCTGTATTTACAGCAACAAAGCCCATCAGGTACAAGTGTGGGCTGTCCAAGGCATGCCCGCTCGGACACTTTGCCTTTAAGATGGCGAGCGGTGCGGCCAGCGTGGTGGGGCCCCGAATCTGCCTGGAGGACAAGTTGTAAGTAAAATGATATCTTGACACTTTCAGAAAAAACAGTCCCTTCCAGTTGCTTGTTTTTGTGAGTGAAACAGTCTTATAGATGTAGAATATGTTGTTAATAAAAATCCCAGAGCAGGTAATTATATAGCTCTATCCTAAAGTAGTTCTGTGTAAAAATGTGGACGGATATTTTCTTTAATTCTCCACAGCAGCAGCCACCTCGAGTTTTAAGTGCGTCATACTGCAGCTGCCCTCTGTGGTTGAAAGCGCTCACTGTAGTACTGAAATCCATGAACCGGAAAATTAATCAGCTGTTTTAATAACTGATCAGTCACTCAGTTTAGCATTGCAGGAGAAGGCTGGCTGTCAAAGTGTTTGATAAGGGTTCAAAAGTGACACACCAACATGTCCTGTCACAGTTTACTTTTACGGTCTGCTATTAAACATTTATGAGCAGCAGAGATGTCATGACACCAGAGATTTAGCCGTCAGTATCATGTAATCTACACGACTCTCAGTACTAAACAGGCATCAATCAAAACTGTGTATTTTGCTGGACACACGCTGAGCTTAAACACAGACATATCTTTACAATTTGACACCCTGAGCTGTAATAACAGTAGTTTACTAATACCATTAGCAGCACCCAGTTTACGATATCATCTACTGCTACATTGGCCCAAACAAGATAATCTCGGTAAACATTGCTGTTAGGACTGGGCCGTATCATACCATGCACCCAGTCCCCTGCTGCCACCTCCACCGCCACCTGATGGTGGAAACAGAACCGTGATCGCTATCCTCAACTGGCATCAGCAGCCAAGTACTGCCTGTGTATCCCGCCCACTTCCACTCCGTCTGTCCAAATATTCACCTGCTGCATACACACCCATTTCTATTTGAAATACATTTTCATTAAACAAATTGTCAGCAAGCAATTTACAACTTATGCACTATTGATTTTGGTACGTTATAGCTTCAGTGCACATCAAAAACAGCTGCTTGTTAAATGGAAAAGAAATTGTTCTTTTTTTTTTTATTTGCACCAATAAAGTTGTGCAGTTTTGAAGTATTTTATCTTGCGTCAGTTTTATCGTTATCGCAAATTTTCTCATTTGTATCGTGATAAATATTTCTGGCCATATCACCCTGCCCTAATTGCTGTAACAGATGCAGCTGTCACAATACTGGCAACAGTTAAGGATATTAATGTTTGACAACATGCTGGAACTGCTCACCTTGTAGGAAGTAGTTTAAACACTATATTGTTTATTTTGTACTATTTGTTTTCAGTTTTGTTTATTTAGCAATAATTCACAATATACGGCATCACAAGGCACTTAACATAGTAAGATGAAGCCCATACAATATAATGTTATAGAGAGAAGCCTCACAAATCCAAAGATTCCCTTTGAGGAAGCTCTTTGGCAACAGTCGGAGAAAAAACTCCCCTCCACGAGGAAGAAACCTCTGGCAGAACCAGGCTCAGAGAGGCTGACAATCTGTCTTGAAGGATGCGGTGAGAGAAAAAGATAGCGTCTCCCGTGACGTATATTTGCATTGTTAATAATGCCTTTTACAATATCCTCATTCGTTATCTGTTTAAACAACAGCCTGCACTCGTGGCTGCCCGTAGAAGGAATTATATTTGATGACAAATACAGCAAACCCAAATGCGTGCACTGCCGCATTACAGCGTGTTATAAACCGTGCTCTGTTTATGAACGGTAAATAGAGGGACTTAAATTAAAGTGTTAATCGGTACAGCTTCAAAATCTGTGTGCAGTATCTTTGACAGTATCTTTATGGGCTCCACTTTTATTGTCCTGCTTTTGTTGATCGTAGACTAATGAGCGGTGTGAAGAACAATGTGGGGAGAGGAATCAACATCGCCCTGGTGAATGGTAATGTTATCAGCAGTTCCACACCTCAAAGTCAAATAACTGCAAATGAGCTGCCGTGTCTCCTTGTAAACGTTCATATGTATATGTGTGGATATAGCTTTTATATTTGCATGGCGCTAAATGGAATCTTTATGTCCTCTGTAGGGAGAACAGGGGAACTCGTCAAGACAGGGTACTTCGATATGTGGGCAGGAGGTGAGTCTACTTTAAACCTTTCTTGTTTTCTACATTATAAACACAAACTCACTGTGTTATTCGTGTGTAACCCTGCACAGATGTGGCTCCCTTAATTAAATTCCTGAAGGAAATCGACGACGGGACAGTCGTGATGATGGCCTCTTTTGATGATCCCTCAACAAAGTAAGAACAAATGCACAGCTACAGCTTCAGTTTAGTTGTCTCTAATGTTGACTGTGTTGCTGCAGGGGCTAGCCATGAAGTAATACACACCTCATTTGTTCTGCAGACTCAATGATGAAGCCAGGAAGCTGGTTGCTGATCTGGGCAGCTCAGCTGTCAGTAATTTGGGCTTCCGAGATAACTGGATCTTTGTAGGAGGGAAAGGCATCAAGACCAAGAGTCCTTTTGAGCAGGTAACACGACCCATGAGATCCTGTTCTTCTCACTTTTACTCACTTTCTACTGAATGATTACGCAAAGTAAACAACAACAGTTTCCTTGTTGTTAAGAGAACAAATCAAGTTTAGACGACCAGTAAACCAATAAAATGTCAGTATTATACAAAGGGTTCATCAGATGGGCCTCAACAGTTGTTGAAACTTAAATCCAGTGTTCTTTATGAGGCTGAATGTTAACAGTAATAATTTATCGTAGACACAAACCAATTTATAGTTTTAATCTGTAGATTTATTAACTTATGCTCCATTTCTTTTCATTTATATGGACCTCATTTATAATGTAGTTAAGGAAGAAAACCAAAGATCTTGGCCACAATTAAGAAACGTGAATAAGAATGACAATAAAATATTACAAGGTAAAGTTGGTAATATAAAAACATGAAGAGTTATTGGAGCATTTAAACTCTGAAAACAAATAAATTAAAGAGCAGCAGGAAACAAAATAAATCAAAATTAAAGATATGAATTTCCCTTAATATATAGAAATCACAGGATCACGTGCAAAAGATGAGATCCTCTACATGAATAAACATTTCCTAACCGTCTGAATACGAAGCAGTTTCTGGGTGTTTTTGCTCACAATTTTCACTCACTTTGGGCTGATTTTTTTTCCCACTGATATATATATAAAGCCTTGCACATCCATGGAAAAAGCTCAATCAGAAAAATATATATTTTTTTTTTATTTTGCAAAATTGGAATCAACATTCACATCAACATTGTATTACTTACACTTTGTTTGATATTCGTTTTTTATCTCATAAACACAGCCTACAGTTCAGCCTAAAACCCCAAACCATCATTTTTGTCAGACTTGACTCTTGGTCTGGACTCACTTGTAGCTGCCTGACTGCGTAGAGGAGCGCAGAATTTTGATGATTTTAAGCTGAGATTTGGGTATATTTCCAACAGTCACACATAATTAGTTGAAGTCCTCCTGTTTCTACAATTTCTTGGTATAAATAGTGTAATTTTAGCTTGTTTTTTTCTGAAGATAACAAGCCTTTCAAGTGCAGATGGTACAGCGTGACTGTGCGACCTCTGCCTTTCAGTTTCATGTTCTTAAACGCATACATTGTCCTTGTAATAAGAAATGTACTGCGTAGGAGGCAAGGATGGACGCACAGGCCTTGCGTCCCCGTAGTGTTTTCTTTGAGCCATAGACCTCTTATGATTCACAAGCTTTTAGTCATTCTACGCTCCTCTACGAGAACTGAACACTCCGGCCTTGTTCATGTCATCGGTTGTCGGGCAGCATAACGCCTTCTTTCTGTCACAACCTTTTCACACACATCCGTCTGGAATTGTGTAACCACTGGATTACAATGACAATGCAGACCAGTCTCTGGTTTCTTGTTAAACACACTGTGTCTTGTGTTTACCTCCGCAGCATATAAAGAACAGCGCAGAGACCAACAAGTTTGAGGGCTGGCCCGAGGTGTTGGAGATGGAGGGCTGCATACCACAGAGGCAGGACTGATCTGAGTCTTCTTTGTGACCGTCGACCACCCATCTCTCATCGCGCCCAGTCTGCCGTTTCTGTCCTCTAGAGACTCTTTTTTTTTTTTTTAGAGGTTTCACTTATTTGGGCGGAGTCATTTTCCACCTCTCATTCCAAAGCCTTTTATTTAAACATATCTACCAGAACAATGTTTCATCAGAAGATTTAGCAGGAACGAGGAGCTGCTGCCACACTTAAGCCAGAACAGGAATGTACAGCTTCTTGCACTTCTCCTCATACTTACAGTAGATGCTTTTTGGGGGTCTTGTAATTTGATCTAGTTTGTAGAGTACACTGATTAGAAGGGATTTATTTTTGTACTACGGGCTTGCTGTCACACTTCCTACCTTTACGGCCCTGGCGCTTAGCGAGATAGTGTTGCACTGTTGATGGAAATAGATGTCACAGCCCAGACTTTTTTTTTTTTAGAGGGACACATATTTCCATGACCTGTTTCCTGCCTTAATTATCCTATACATTTATTTTTTTTTAAAGACTTTGTGATTCTTTTTGTTTCTGTCAGAGTTGTTTATTTTGGGAAAGTTACTATTAACAGAATTTGACGATACTTCTTGTCATGATATTATAACCAAATGCACCAAATTCACTGTGAAATTTGTAAATATTTGTGTAGAGGAGGGTCCAAATTTGAAAGATCCTAATTTAATGAACATTGTAATATTAATATAATTTGTTAAAATAAATGATATTGTTAGCAATGTGCGTGTGTGGGTGGATTTAAAGTGTCTGGTTGCACGTAGGAGAGGTACACAGTTGTTCCATTGTGCGTACAAGCGACTGCACTGATGTGTGGCTTCATTGACGACAGACCTCATTCTGTGTTTGTTTAGTTCATCATCATCCCGGTTGTTAATCATTGCTCTGTTAATCTTGCCAGTTTGCCACCACTTTGAAATAAGTTCTGGCCTGTTAGCTTCTGCACTTTAGCCAGATGTCATTCATCTGTTTGGCTGGAAAACTAATATCCACACATACATTGTGTTGTCACTTTGTCAGTGTTTGTCACTTACTTAATGTTAACCACCTGGCATCATGTGTTGTTTTCAGTGTACTTTCTCTTTGGAAGCCTTTTTTATACACTTTAACTACAGAACATTCCTTTAAAGAAGAAATGTATTAAAGTAAAAAAACTAAACCGGTTGTTCGTGTGTTCAACAAATACCGACTGTTGCTTCTTTGGAAAGCACTTGTTTAAATAAAGGTGTGAAAATAGTGCAGCTGTATGATTACATAAGAACACAAGCACTTCTCTTTTTAAAAAAGCTGCAGCTGAAAATGTAAACACATTTACAGAGTGCAGTTTGTGCTCCTTCTAACCTCTTCGATCCGACACACGGGGCTAATTGGCAGTCGGTGTGAAACGAGGAACAACTGTTCTTGTTCGTGTTGTTGATTCAAACAGCTCAGCTCTGTTCCCGTATCACTTTCCTGTTCTGCTTATCCTCCAAGAGCTGCTGAAGGACTCATTAATATGAGTAGACAGGTAGCGAGGAGCTTCTACTAATGACAATAATGGTCATTTTGAACATTTTGCACCACTAGTGTCTAAATAGCGACAAGCAGCGGTGAAAGTTTTACGGCAGTTGTGGCCTTCTGCTTTGTTTATAGGTCAAATCAGCACAACTGGGTGTATTTAATTAAAAATGAAAGAGGTTTCTACAGAGCCTGCAGTACCCAAAGGAGAGCTGTACTCTATTGTGTCCATCCCATGTATCCTTGTACTACAACATAAAAAAGAAATCATCAATTCGTGGAAAAACTGTATTCTTGTATATTTTTTTCGAGGGTCATTTTGTAGCATCTATCCAGTTATGACGGATGTAAAGTGTGCTCTTGGAAAATGATTGTATTTAGAGGGGAGAAAAAGGTAGCCGTTATGAAGCCATAGAAAATAATTATGTTCCGTTAATGAAGGACAACGTACTCAGTCGTTTCTCTTTTCACATATCTCAGCTTCACAAGTCCAACAAACTGAGCTGAAGACTGTATTTTATATTTGTTGATTTATACATGAACAGTGAATGACATTTGAGCTCATTTCTGTTTATAAATCTGTAGCTTACAAATACTTTTACTAGATATTCCTTCTGAGTATTTTATGTTAACAATATATGCATGTTAATACATTTTTACATGTACGTTGACATTCTTCAATGACATCCAGTTGCTAAATTGTGCACATTTAAAAACAAAAAGTGAATCATTACAATCCCTCGTGCTTTTTCTGCAGACTTCACAGTGCTACCAAATAACTTCTACAGTTCTCCTGCTCAAGAATTCGTCCTGCAGGGGGCACCACTGCCTCATTTATTCACCCTGCTCATCCTGCCATTTGTAGCATCTCCACTGTACCTTGTGTTTGTTTTCCACTTGTACAGTAGAAATGCAGCGTGGAAATTACTGTCAGTGGCTGTCGGACAGATCACAGATCACATGACTCCAGGAGATTTCATCAGTATTGCTCCAATTACCATCTCATTGATGTAAAATCAATATAAGAGCGGCCTACTTTGACGAAAAAGAACATCGGATTTTGTGCCGTTGCATAATTAACACGTCCAGACATGTGAAAAATGATCATTCTGTACCTGCTGCATTTGTCACGAGAGACAATATGTGAGATTTCTGTTTGTGATCTTAATACTATGAGTCCTAATCGTGTTAGTCAGGAGGAGGACTTTGCAATATCTCTCTCTGTCTGCCAGCAGCTGACAGGTACATTCACTTTCATTTCTTCAGTTAGTACCTTGTAAACTTCACATTTGCCCCGTCTGCCTTTGAGTCCCCCCCCCTCAGCTCTCAGCTCATCCTCATCCCCCAGAGATTGAAAAACCCACTGTGGAGCTTTTTTTTTTTTCTCCCTCTGATCTCATCTGAGCTCCACACACGACATCCCTCTGACATTTTATATCCCCATGTGGGTTTTACGGGGGGCGATATAAGGGACAGCATTTGTCTGGCAGCTGTTCCAGTGCCTATAGCGTAATGTTTGTGCTGCACATCGCGGCCCTGTTATGTGGGCACATCAATAAGTTAGCGTTTGTCTCCGTGCAGCTGGAGATGTATGGTGCGTGATGCCTTCAAAAAGTGCTCGCTCGTCGGCGTTCGTGTGGGCTGAACCTCCTCTGAGCTCCACGTTTCTTCTCTCGAGCGATGAGGTGTAGGAGTGAATCATCTCCAACTCGCCTTATATAAAACACGCTATATGATACATTATGTATGAACACAGAATATCTGCCGTCGCATAAATGCCTAATGATGAGACATCTTATGGAAGCCTGAGGGCAAAGCTGTAGGAACGCATGAGGACAATTTTTTTTATTATTTTTTTGTATGGAACAACAGCTATAGTCTCTATTTTCATTTTGACTTTCTTTCATTCGTCTCCTCTGTGGCTCCCAGAATAAATCTGTCCACTAGACAAAAGGTGCTTGCATCTCAAAGAACCTCTGAGGAGCTCAACTTTCTCGCTGTGACCTCTGACCTCTGCCCTCTGACCTTCCTGACCAAGACTCTCATGCTTCTGTTTCCTTCAAAATGGCTCCTCTCTTCCATTTACCACGAATCTTGTGACAAAAAAAAGCATTTTTCCAGATCTCGTGGCCTTAATTACACAACACAGCTCACTGCTTCTGTAGCAGAGTGCTCATATGTCCATTTATCCCCAACACCTGCCTCAGTCTGCGGTACAGTACCATCCCTCGACCTTTGCTCTTCATCTGCTGACCAAAACTCCCTCAGTGACCTTAACACCTGAGCCCTCACAATTTAAAAATACACTTCTGCTCCTACACCCTAAATTGTCAAACACTTAAGAAAGAAGCAAGGAAAGATGTTGAGATAATATCTTACACTCTAAGTATTTGGTTGACTTTTGCCTAAAGCAACCTATTATCTTATCCTCACATATCACAAGGTGTATTTTAAGGTTCAGCTCTTTGCTCAAGGACATCTCGGGTTGGAGGAGATGAGGATCAAACCATCAACCGCCGTGATTAATGGACAACCTCTGAAGCTACAGCTGGCCTTTAAATAACCGTACTGATGTCATCTGGTTGAGGTTAAGCCTGCGCTAATGATCTAGAAATCATATGTAATAGTGTTTACACAGGTAGGACCTAACAAAAGACCCCATCGAGTTGCATTGTGGGAATTTTAGGAACTGTGGTTTTTAACCCATGAACGTATTCACTGGTGTATGCAGTTGTGCTGCCTCCAGAAAATAGCCACAGCCTCGTAACCCGAGTCTGACACTGACAACAGTCCTTGCTTTCTGCTGCACACTCAGCTTTTATATCTTGCCAGATGAACTGTCGGTGATTAAAATAAAGACGCCACATCATGGTATTTTTTTTTGCACTTTTGATGATGCACTATTTTAATTGTGTCTTCTGTCTACTGGTGGTGTTTGCCCATGTGTTGGTGGGTCCAGCTACACATTGTCCATGTTGAATATCTATATCTGTCTATCTAATAGGGCACCAATCCCTGTTAAGGTGTCTTAATTACCCCAAATCTGTTTACTCAACCGCTACATCTACTAACTTCTGTAGCTTCTACTAAAAGTGTATACAGTGTTAACATGTGCTGCCCTCTGGTGGTCTGAAAGCTGAACAGCACCTTGAACTTTAAAGTCCTATATTGTGCCCCTTTATTGAGCCAGTTAATGAAAGTCTTGCACACATCCCCATGCTGTGTCTTCTAGTTGTTTTTCTTTTATAGCTCAATATACTGCAGCCATGGTTCATTCCACCATGACTTCATAACTCCTGGTTTTGGGCTGTTGGGCTGCTGCTGTCCACGTCTCCTTCAGGAAGAAAACTCTCTCTGTGTCCGTAGGTGACAGCATGGAGCCAAACGGTTGACTGTAAATTGTGGAATTCACAGCACAGCCGTTGTTTTTAACTCCTGTGTATGGTCGGTTTGTCACATGATGTTGTGTTATAGCATTTTTTTGGTGCAGGGCCACGACTTGGAAATGGCTCTGGAGTGACTGTAGTTAACACGTAGGCTTAATGAGCTGTGTTTCAACCACTATTTCGAAGTCATCCCATTGTCTGACAACAGAAACAAAACAAATGTATAAATGAGAGCAGCTTTGTTTGGTATCAGGCTGCACTGAAACGTAAATTAAGAGAGCAGGAGAGTAGAAAACTGATGTAAACACTGGCTGAGCTCAGGTTGCATTGAAGCACAGCAGCACTCACCCAGTCCTTGTTTACTGGTTTCCACAGAGCTCTCACCTGTGTACATCCCATCACAGCTTATGATAACGTTAGCCACATTAGCCGCACAATGTACCAAGGACTGTCCTATTGTTGTGAAGACTGATGCACTGGAAACGTAGTTACTCAGATGCTGGGAGTGCATGAAGACTCTTGTGTTCACTCTTGCACCCACCAGCAGAACATTTGTTGTGTTTTGCTTATGCTGGAGACATTTTAGAGTTAGCAGAAGCAGCTCTAGAAGTAAATAAACTTTTTTTGAATGGCTCCCCTGGAAGCAGCAGACATTGAGGGGGCGTCATTATGGAAATTTTGAGCCACATGACAACTGGCTCTTCTATTGGAATGTAGCAGATCAGTAAAATTCCTACTGGCTTGTAAAGCTGGAAGGTTATCTAGTTGTGTCTTCATATCTTTACAGCTTTTACTTGACACCTTCAAGTCAATCACGGTTTCATCATTTGAGACCTTAAATGGCTTGATATACAGGATTGAGAGGTAGGGACCCAAGGCCTCTGCATCCACCTGACTAACATCCATTGTGCTGCGCTGGTTTTGACACACATTTGCTTTTAATCGGTTCTTCGCCCTTCAGTATAACCGAGGTGAAATACTGAATCACTTCATAAAAATCATTCCTGTTCCATCAAAGTGGGTCATATCTTTTTGTTACTTTACTCCCACTTGACGCTGACTGTCATTCTTCTAATAAGTCCCTCAGAAGATGTTTTCTTTCCCATGAGTTTTATCAGAGTGTTCCCCTTTGATAATTTCCCAGACCATAATATGCAGCACGAAGGTCCTGGATCAGGGCTGCTGCTATCCTAACATAAACAAGACCTTTTTTGAGTTCCTACATTGTCTGTAGGCTGGAACCACTCCCCTCGTGTCTTATCTGATACGGAGCCCCAAACAGAGCCCAGCCCTCCTGTTTACCTCCAGCTCTGCATATTAACCCTTGAACAGCCCTCAAAGGTTTTTTTTTTTT